CGTGCAGGGTAGTGGTCATTTCCCAACCCCTAAACACATCAGAAGAGCCAATAATGTGAAATTACACTGGTCAGAATAACCAACCTATAAGAAATGCCAATAACCACTTAAAAAGCCAAAGAACAGTTTTTAATTAACAATTTGGCCACCTGTCAGTTTTAAATTTTGATTTCAGCTATCACTTCCAGTCTGGAAAATGAGAGAAAAACTCTTATGTTGGGTTTCAAATGCTAGAGGGAAACTCATAACGAAAAAAAAGAATGAAACGAAGGAGATGCAAGAAGTCGATATGGATGCTTTATAAGCTTTGGACCGAAGCAACATGCCGGTTATTACTACTACTTTAATTTTGGCTACTCTGCAAGAAGTTATCAAAACACACGCAACAAAAATAAATACATTGGGTCATGACAAAATAGTTGAGCTCATTTTCTGGTCTAAGAAAAGCTGCATTTAGAAACAGCCCAAGTCTTGAAAACGCTAGATGTGCCCCCTTCCCAAACACACACACAACTTGCTTATTTTCCGCAGCCCTTATCATTGCTGGAGGGCCGCGTCAGCTGATTTCAAAAGTACATCAAAAGTAGGCAAGCTTTCGCAGCGCAAAGCTCAGGATGTTCACAAGTCCTCCCTCCGCCGGCAACCAAACAAAGGATGCTACCCGAGACTTCGCACGACAACTAGCGAGAAACAGATCGTCAACAAGAGGAGTCTCGCTCGGCGCGCTCTGCAATATCAACCTTCGTCACTACTGGGGCCGCTCGTCTGTTGGCCGACGAGGAATTATATAGAGCGCTTATGTCATATCGCACACTGCATCCATCCCAACAACAGCCACCCCGGCACCAGCGAGGGAAATAGGTGTCGGCTGCTGGTAACGAGAAAGAACAGGGAAACCCCGAGTCTTGGCACCGATTTCACACTAGAAACAAACATCCAGCGCAGACGAAGTGCAGCCTGCTCTGCTCGTCCCGTCCCGTCCCGTCCCGTCCTCCAAGCACCTTCCCTGCTGTCCCAGCGCCTCCTCCCCTCCCGGTCCCACAGCTGTCCTGTGCACGCACGGCTTTCGCCACACGTGATGTCATGGATGGGATACCCCAAAAAAGGAAGAAGAGCCAGGGGTGCAAAGTAACTCGCCCACAATGAATGGGTTAATCACCCAACCCCCACACCGGTCCCACTGCCCAGCCCCTCCCCCACACCTGT